AAAATTAAAATCTTGGGGGTCATTTTTGATCCATCGTTACACTTTTCCTCCGTTATATACAGCAGCCAGGAAAATAAAAATGTAAGAATTGTACTGTACAGTACATTAAGACCCCGCTTAACGCGGTGAATACGTTTCTAGATGACAAAGACCTAAACGAAACAGCGTTAAACGACGTCATTTTAACACAGTAAATAGGGAAAGGTAACACGAGACCAAAAATAAACAGATTTTACTTTAAGTTATTTTTATATTAAAATCCATAATACATGTTAAATAACACATAAACATATGCACACAGAAACTTAAACATTTTTTGTAATGAAATCCTGGCTGTTCTGAAATTCTTTTTTTTTTTTTGCGATAAAGTTGCGAAGTTTCAATTGTCGCTTTTTTATTTCCTTAAGCAAATGTCGGTAGCAGAAGATCGCATCCAAAACGTCTCGTTTTGCATTTGCACTCCTTTCAAAATCTGGATCATTCGCTACAATTTGATCAACGATTTCGGTTATCGTTACTAAACTTTGAATCTGAAGAAATCTGTAGAGAAATTCTTTGGGTTCTTCGTTTTCAGAATCACTATTTTCCAGTTCTATATGAATTACTTGTTCTGCCAGTTCTTGGAGGTCGCCGTTGGTAAGTCTCTCACCAGAAACCTGCAGTAACTCCTATATATCCTGCTCGTCTATATCTCCTAGTCCGTCTGTATCGATTCGGTTCAATTTGGTCAACCTAACGGTACAGCAAGAGGCTCTTCTCGGGGAGAATTCTTGGATACCTTCCGCCATAACTTCTTTCTCGCTGCGTTCATGCATTTATCAGTGATTTCTCGTCGATATTGCCTATTGCATTCATGATGTTATATTTTTTCCAAAATTGCACCAAGTAAACATAGATTTAAGGACTACGCGCTACGACGAATTGACACCGTTTGCTGATTTGGTTCGTGTTCGGGAATAATCGTATTATATACGAATCAATGAAATGCCGCGATAATTTAAATCAGCGTAAATTTTGAGCTTTTTTTAGGCTTTGATCAGACCGCGTTATATCGAGACAGCGTTAAGCTGGGTCTTACTGTACTTATAAATGTAAAATTTAAACTTGTGCACGGTATCTTTGAAAATAGATGGAATCTACATTTTATATGCATCAGCTTACGAAACTTGGGACTCGCGCCCTCATTGCGTTATAACGGAGTAGTAGGTCATTTAAAACCTCTGAACTGATTGTTCAGAGGACTATTTTGGATTATTCGTGTTTTTCGTCCACTGATTAGCACGGATAATCGGTAGTTCGGTGTGGTTACAAAAATCCAAATATCTTGCGTATTCGTAAGCAGTGGCACGAAGATACAGTCAAACCTCGGTTTTCGAACTTAGTGTTCTTAAACACAAACAAATTTTCCCTTAAGAAACAATATAAAATGGATTAATCCGTTTCCGACCCACGAAACAGCTTTTTTTTAACCTTTTGAGGTGTATTTCACGAATAAACGTGCAATATACCTGCAAATGCAATATAATAATATCTATATCTAATGCGTGAATGTTGCGACTCGATCTATGTATAATTCAACTTTTTAAAATTTGAGCCGCGTATAGAAAATCAGAATTCTTGTTTTTATGGTATTTGTACAGAAAATCAGTTTGGATCAGGCACTATCAATAAGAAAAAGTTACTTTTCAAACCGCTATCCCGACAGCCCGTTTCTGTCTATCTAAGATGTTACTCGCTTTTGAAAATATTTCCGCAGGTACAGTACAGTACAATCTGGGGAAAGTTTTTATCGTCTCGAACCACGGTTCCGATCCATTTGAAGATAACGAAGTTGGTCGAGTGTACGATTAATTCGTGGTTCCTCGTGGTAGCGTAGCTCCAAATAATCGAAAGGGCTGTCTCATTTCGGGCCTACGGCCCCTACCGAGATCGAATCACCCAACAGCGGGACGAAGCGTTGAGCTTTATAATCCTTAGGCTCGAGACGGTTTTTCATCAGCTACTGGGTGATTCAAATATAAATATTTGATTCTAGGATCCGGGAGTGGCGAAAGAATGGGAAAGATAGAATAGAGTTCTTTATTGAGAAATAAATCGCTTATTTTTATTATCGAAAAGAATATCTCGCAGACATTGTCGTTGCCCGTTTTGAAGATGCGACGTTTTCTTTTATGCAGTTTATCATCGGAATAATTTCAGAAATGGTCACGCAAGTTTCGCCACTTTGTTCTCCGATCACGTATTTTACGGGATTTACACTCTGTGGAAGAGTTTAGCGCTAATAAACTAGTGTCTCGAATACGGAAACACCTTGTAACTATTTGCGGATTAATTTCGCAGTAGTGTTCGACGTAGAAATGGCAATGGACAGATTGCACGAACTGGAAGACTCGTAGCAAAAACGATCGAACAAATCGCACCAATGATCGGAAGGATTTCCATCTCGAACGTACGGCGTGGCAGAAAATACGACCCATTATGCATAATAGAGAAGACGGATCCCACAATTTAACGGAACGATTTCGCCTAAAAGATTAGTATGTTGCTGTGGCGAAAATTAGTCTCTTTTTATTCTATTCGCGTGATGTAAATGTATGTAAGAAGCAACTCTCACTAAATAATATAACAAACTAAGTTTTATTTGCTATCATTCCGAATTCGAAAATTTAGTGTCTGGCAGATATAAAGACAGGCATAGATTACATAAAACGATACTAATTACTATGACAGAAGATTGCTACATAAATAAGATTTCGGCAGTTAATGTTGGATGAACTTATACTGACGGTAATGCATTATAAGCTTTTATAAGCAGGTAAACGATGGAATTCAATGTCCGGATTCATTGTATCGACGATGGGATCATTGACACGCATCGATTTATTGGTTGTGGGTTTAGGTGTAACATTGTAGTCTGATTTCGAATGAGGAGAAACATTCCTCTGTAGGATTAAGTTGTGGTGAGTACAGTGGTTAGTATTTGTAACTTATGGACTGCTCCGTCAGTCTTGTAACCGTGATTGATGAAATGTTACTTTATCCATTATTAATTAAATAGAATCCCGGAAATCTGTTCTTCGGATCGTCGCAATGTTTACGTTGAAAGGACAAATAATTCCGAGTTGTACGAGCGTGGAAGACTCGTACAACTCGAAACTATTTGTCCTTGCTCTTACCGGAATTGAAACATGCCGGCGTGGAAGGGCCGCATGTTTCAATTCCGGTGAGAGCTAAAATAGCTACGAGACATATTCTTCCATTTATTCGTTGGACGGGTGGTATTCGCATTTATACGTTCGGTCGAATCAGTGGCGCAGCGTGGGTGTCAGCCGCACGGGGCAAAGGAAAATTTCGCTTCTCCCTTATTTAGTTATCTCAATTTAAAAGACTAAAATTCAGTTTCGTCACAGAATAAGTAATGAAAATTTCCGTGCTAGTGTTGCCACCTTTTTAAAATCGCTGACCCAGAGGGCAGGTGAGGTTTGTTCGAACAGAAGTTCCTGACGCATGCGTATGTCATTTTGCAATGCGAAGAATAATGTGCAGTGCATGCCGGTTCTAAATCAGGTACATTTAGGGACTAGGGAGACTTGGATAGGAGTAACGTAAGTAACCTAGATGACATAGCTCTATTGAATATTGGAGATGTGTATGAATACGAATCGTACAAGCAAAAAAAAAAAAAGGTCGACAGGTTACGCACGATATTGCCGGGAAAAATTAACAGTTCACCCGGACAGTGAGTCGATTTCCGGACTGTCCGGGTGGTAACACTATTCCGTACTCATTTTAATTGGTCCGAATCGTAGGTGGGACGAAAATATGAAATAAAATGATTCAAATGTTTACAAGATATTATTATTATTTATTGTGAAATTTTGCCGCCCCTTAAAATGTCGCCCGGGGCGGGCCGCTCCGGCCTCCCCCACTACGCTACGCCACTGGGTCGAATACCCATAATGTCTGTGGGTGTGCACATTTATTCCCGTTTCGTCCAAGAACAGTAATGCCGAATTTGGAATTGACCATCGCCCTTGCATAGCACACTCTCGTTCACTATTTTTGAATCAATATTCCAGACATTAACTTTCCTCTGTCTTTTCCGGGTGTCCGCATTCCGGCTTCATATATCTGCAAATCGAACTTTAGCTTTTTCGTGTATTATCACCTTCCAGTTTCGATCGGATGCCGTCGATTGCCAATGAATTATTTCCATCTCTTACGGGTGGCATAGGGCGGAGAAGCGATCCTTGCATTTGCTGACATGGAGAGGAGATCCAACAGCAAAGCAATGGCGTAGTTTCCTTTGTTCGTTTTTCAATTCCATTTTCCTTTAGGCCATCGGAATGCTTTTATTTTTGCTCCTAAATTTTATTAGGCACGCTCATTCTAGGGACGTATGGACATTATCACTTTGACCTCAATGTATCTCGAAAACGAAGTCACGGACAAACATTCTTTATTACATTTCTGAGAACGAACTTAATTCTATAAGCCACAAATACTTTGTCGCGCGATTTGGACGATATCACTTTGTCGCATGCGCTCGAACTACCATACGGTATCTCGAAATGAAGTCACGGATGAGGAATTGGAAAGTGGCAAAATGTTATCAAAATTGATGGAAGAGATTTGGAAAACGAACACGATTTTGTAAGCTACAAAGAAGGTTTGGCTGACGCTTCTCCTCAATAAGTAAATATGTTGAAGCTACGAGTCAGAGGAGAGGCACGGAATCGGGAGAATCGCAACAACACCAGGCGCGAAAGCCCGGATTTCCGCACTGCAGCGCAACTTGGCAAAACGACCGGTCCTAGCCACGCAGTAATTTGTACAACGAAGGCAACCCGCAGGTTTGGGGTTTTCGCTTCCGACTGGAAAATTCTGTCGGAATTTGCTACTCGAAAGCGGTAAAGACGGAAAGGGAAAGCCGCTTACGGAATAAACAGAAGGTCGCGTTTCGACCGAAAACGTAAATGCAGAAAGGGAGGAACACCTACCTCTGAGCATGACTTCGCACATTCGGTTGCAGTCGGTGTAGCGCTCAAAGTTATTCTTGTTGCCGCGGCATCCTCCGTAGACGAACTGCAGGCACATGGTGCGGCCGGAGTCGTAGTACCAGCGGGGAAAATATCCTCTGCACGGACCCGAGTCCTTTTCTTTGGTGCAGATTTCTGATAGGACGACAGAGAGTTTAGGCCGAGCCGCGTACGACCGGAAACATAACTCTTACCTTTGGCTTCGGCGTAGTCGACGGTGCATTCGGGTCTCTCGGCGGCGCAGGGAGATTTCTGTATCAATTCGGCGTTACAGACCGTGGGTCCCGTCGGATTAGTGTACAGCCGGGTTCTGGTTTTCGTCCCCTTGCCGCAGGAAGCGCTGCACGGAGACCATTCGGACCAGTGGGTCACTTCGCACGTCGGGTCTGTCTGGGGTGAATGAAAGATTAGCCTGCTCCTGGAAGAGCCATGGGGAAAAACGCGATTCCATCAGTACGTTTTCTTTAAAACCCCAACGATTCCGAGTTGGCCAACTCCTGGACTAGCCGGATTCCAGTCGCTACGCCCTCTGGCGTCGTCCAGAAGAAATACTGAATCTCGTCGGTTTTCTATTTGTATGGCAAGCCCCAGCTCCACGTCCTTTCGTTACCTTGGTTTCCGACCAAGGTAACGAAAGGACGTGGAGCTGGGTTTCCGACCAAGGTACGAGTATCTTTGTAATTGGCTACAATTATCTTTTAAACTCTCGATTCTAGGAGGGAAAGAAATGCCGTAGGGAAAACACCTTCGGCATTTTTTCCCTCATTAATTAATTAACAATTAGAGTAATTTTAACCAAATTATATATCGTTTATATCAATTAGTGTACCATAAAATTGGTTTCTGGAAATTGAAACTGGTCGTTCGGCTTAACGTCGCGGTTTTCACCAATAGTATCGACGACGTTCGGCCAGGACAAGATATATAATAAGAGACGAACGTATCCCGTTCGATACTCAGTAAAGATCGTCCCTGAACATCGGTGCTGTGGTTGATGCCGTAACGAATCGTTGTATGAAATACTGTGATCCCGGGAATAAATGGTCGTTCGAAAATAAGCCAAATAATATAATATAATTGTCGTCTAATCGTATCTCGTGCTACAATTTTCTCTCGTTTTCTGCACGAAAACCGGAAATTCAAAGATTGGATATTTTTGTAATTATACGAGTAAGAGCATTGTATTTTTTTTTTTTTTTTGTCGTTCTACATAATATATTTTTAAGTTAACACGCCCGTCCGTTAATTCGCTGCGTCGTTGCATTAATGGAAAATAAAACCAAGCTGAGTATATTAAAACTAGAAATTCGTCCGCAGAACATGGATTACTTTCTAGGAAGGAAGTAAAAATGGAAGAATTGAAAAGAGTAGTCAATATTTTGTAGAAATTAGGTAGCTTGTACTTTCCGTCGGAACAAAAGAAAATAATCAAAATTTCACCTGGATTGGACAAAAATAGCGGGAGTTATGGAGAATTTACACACGCAGACAGCCGATAGCTTTTATATTATTTATGCCAAGCTATATTCCCTGGCAATCGACTTGGCTATGGTGAAATGCTTCGGTCTTTTCGGCTTTTCGAATCTTCAAAATGTCTTATTGCAGACGGCAATGATCTGTAATCCAGTCGATGTTTCAAACCCCTAAAATGATTCGCCGATAGAGACTCGCTCGTCCATTGGCCGCGACTACTAACGCCGCGCATTCGAACGTAGAATCTCACTTTGGCAGTTAAAAGACTAGTTTCTAACGGGGCCGAGGAAAGGCGGGAGCGCAAAATTGTTAGCCGGGCCAACTAATAAATTCATAGAAAACTCTAGTACGAGTATGAAAATTTATATTATTACGTGTATTTGTATGATTTTTATCAACTCTCAAAATTTTCTAGAAATGTAATATTAACGCGTTAATCGTCCATATCCTTTTCGTGCTGCTTCCCAAACCGCTTACTACTACCATCTCCAGGATAATTGCAGATGTAAATGACTCTGTTGGGGCCTTGACAGAGCCGTTGAGCATGTCCATAGCAGCAAACAAATGGAAGGAACCATACCTGTAAATGTGATCTTTCGCGTGCGGCTGATTCCCATGAAATCAGCCGCACGCGATGACCAGTGGGGCCGCGCTCTGCTAAGACTGGCGACGTAGTTAGTCTAGCGACTCTGCTGTCTTAGAGTAGCCCACTCGAACGTTCCTGGAGTACTCGATGTTATATAGTTTTAGGCGATATGGGAATTCGCCACCAGGCACCGAAGTGCGAGCGATACTGGCACCGAAGCCCACGACTACGTGCGGAGCATCGATCAAGACTAGCGATAGTGAGCCTTGACGACGTGAAGCATGGAGAATAGCAGTAGTCGATAGAAGTTAAAGCATTTATTACTTGTTTTAGACGCCGATCGCCGTGCCTATAACAAAACTTGCTTCCAAGCGTGACGTCCTTGACTTTTCTTTAGTATTTTTCGATAAATAGCATTAGAACTTCTGATTACCGTGCTGTACTGACTGCTAAACTCGCGATAGGCTTAGAGGAGCAAGTATTCTTTAGGCTAATTTCGGAAAGCGACATCTTGCCAAGGATCAAGTTTACATGTACGGTTCTTTTAACTTTTCTGCTTCTATGGATACGCTCTGCAGCTCTGTTAAACTACCAATAGCGTCATTCGCATCTGCAATCCTACCACCCGAGAGATAGATTTTCGTTACCCTTTGCCGTGTGAATTTATCACTCACGTATGTAAAAAGTGAATTTTGTAAACATTACAACGAAATTTCCCATACATTTCACCAAAATGCCTCCGTCGGCACAAATTTCCAAACCGTTGTCTTTTTCAGTTTATCTGTTCATCTAAATACTACTAAAAGTCCTATATTGTTTGTTGGTTTTAATTAAATACAGAAAAACGCGCCAAATTTTAAAGAATCTCGTACGACAGAAGACAATAGAAACAAGTTTCGTTAAAATCGATTAAAGTAGTTTTTTTCTGCCCACGGCATCGTTCCGTTTTTAACGCTGTCGATTACGTCTCCTCACGTAAAAGTAAAACGTGGTTCTTGAATTCCGCCATCCAAAAACCACTTTTTACTTTTAATTTATTCCATATTTCGTCGGGTCGAACGGAACGGCGTATCCCACCAAGGCCCGAAAAGTTGACGCGATTAGTAAATGGAATGCCGGAGTAAGAACCGAGGTTTCGCCTGAATTATAGCGTGATAACGCGAGATATAATAATTTAAAAGTGATTATTTATATTTAAAAAAAACGTCCGTCCGTCCTCTACGCCTTGTCTTGTATCGCTAGTTGGGCATGAGTTTCTAGGCTATATCGCCCCGTGGTAAAGTGTGACGTAATTGTCATGTAATAGTAATTGTACGAGTTTATGATGATCTTTACGCGGGGAATAATTAAGGTTAACTGGCCTCTATCGGACGTTATGGACGTGGAGAAAACCGGAAAACTCAAAGCGCAGTCCGTCTGGTTCAAGTCCAACTCACGACCACCGAACTCCCGGTGTTCGGGGAACGGAACCGCTCATCCACCGGTGGGGTCCTCTACGCCTCTAAACACTTCGATCGACACGCACCCATATTTTACCGACGGTAAAATACGGAAAATGGGGGAAAATACAAATCGAACGTCGGTGGCATTCGAATACAACAAATATTTTAAAAACGTCGTCGACTGAACATTTGTGTTGTCGATATCCATTACGAATAAATAAAAATATAAAGACGGGCACGTAAAACAAATAAACACGATAATAGCCGAGGACCAGCGTTACCTCCCCAGGCGAGCTACGAGTTGTGTATTTATTTTGACGCATGAAAAACGCCAATGGCCATAGTATCATTAAAGATGTATATATATATATATAATGTCACTAGGCGTATACTTCGAAAAAGGCTGGTTACGGCACTCCAAAGCCACCACGGATTACGGCTTCGGCTCTGGTCTGGTCCCCCGGACCCAAGTTCGAGTTCTCGGTTTATTTCAGGAGAAATCTAAAACGAGATGGGCGGAGACGTTACGTCTCTATTAGACGCTACTATTACCTATGACGGTATCTTCTATATAAATCTTTAGTAAGTAATCCGATGGGTCTTTAATAATTTATGAATATCGTATTTTTTCGAATACAGCTGGCTACCGGTGATGGAATAAAACGCGAATTTAATACTTCTGTTCTTTTACTTATTCGTCAATAGCTAGCAAATAACACTCCGCTTTGCAGTGTTATTCACATTCAATCGGTGAATGAACTTATTCTAGTGACGTTCTTGGCTAACCATTTTTCCAACATCCTTTAATTGCACCGAATAAAGACGAGCGGGCAAAAATATTTCAAGTTCTCGGCAACACGCGCAATTCGTTTGGTCTCGAGTAGAAAAGCGTATGTTGTATTGAATGCGGCACCGTCTTTTGCATTCATCTAACAGAAATTGAAGTGGAATGCGTTGACCCGCTGCTGCACGGCATTGACCGTAGGCTAAGCAAAGATCGAGCGTTAAAACATTTGCTAAATGTATTGAATGAAGTCGACGAATTTATCAAAATACTTCGGCTAACGTAAAAGAGAACGGTTTTTAGAGTTGATGGAGAGTAAATCCCTGGTCACGCGTTTACCGTTTAGCATTCAAATATAGTTGAGCGTATAAACCAGCTAAATACAACGTTACCCCAGCTTCTCGAACGTGTCTGGATTTTAAAACAAATATGATAATTTTCCAACCGAATATTTTGGAAAAACTAGTCCATTTTTCTGCATTGTTTCGAGCATCGACGGAACACACCGCTACCGTAGATTACTCTTCGTTGCTACATTCTTGCGAAGTTTGCAAAATGAGTTTGAGCAAAGTTTCGGGAATTTAATGCGATTGGATTTCATGCAGGAGTGATACTGTGCGGAGAAGATTCTTTACTATTACTGTTAAGAATTCTTTCAGTAGTAAGATAACTGGCATGGGGTCCTAGTAATCAGGTGGTTGGGTAAATTTGCAATTAGAGATTGCAGGCATCCAAGGCCAGATCACATAGACCAAAATTTTTAGTGTGAGCTTACAGACGGGTTTGGCCGTTTGAAAGTGGCGGCGGTAAAAGAAAGAGGCCGAAAGACTTGGGTACGCGACAAGTGGGCAACGAAAACTTAAAAATTTTTGCACGATTTGGCGGATATTTTTTTTTATTTACAGTCAAAGCTGTATATAACAAAGTGACTAAGTCCCGCAAAATATTAGCCATGGAGAAATTTCGTTATACAGAAATTTAACTGCACTATTTAAAAGCAATTTTACATAGGTATTTTCGGCCGAAAGATCTGGAGAAAAGTTTTAAATCACGATGCGAAAAATATAATAGAATATTTACGTAGCATTGCATCTATATATATAAT